AAGCATGATTAAAGAATCATTATGTCAAAATGACATGTCCTCCCAGACCACCACACACACATTTTTTTTCAGATATCAGTAAATATTAACAGGATGATTAGGAGGCATAATTGTTTTTTCAGGAACTGTGTACTAAACATAGCCCCCCAAAAGCTTCTCCTTTTCAAAAAGTATATTCCAGACACTCACACATTTAATTAAACTACTCATTCTTAAAAACAATGATGCAGTTTTCTTGTTGTCAAATAAGCAATGCATAATTATGCAGCATTCATTTTCTAGTTTGTGGTTTTTACTTTAAGTATGGTATTGTTGAATACAAGTATTCCTTAGTTAAACTTAAGAGCTTTTTTCATTCTCATTGCAGACACTAAAATGTATGGGGGAAGGGAGAGAAAAGTGTGGAAAATATAAAATAACTTCTTGAGAAGTTGTTCAATTTCAATGAAGGAATTTTACAAAGATATCTTGTTGCTGTTCTTAAATTAACTCTGCAACAGAAGCCAAATGATTTTTTTTTTTTTGGTCTTGAATAGTAATACAGATTTTCTTTACCAATAATGTATATATTAACTATAACATATCAGATATATTTTATTTTTGTATCTCTAAATTCTTAGTCCCTATCAGTGCTTAATGACATCAATAACAATTCTGTCAGAGTAGTGAATGTGTCACATATTTTTGCAATTGAAAAAAATTCTCAATTTTCCTGTGAAACTGCTATTTTGAACATACATGAAAAATACATGAAAAAACTAGCAATTTGACACAAGCGATGAAACCAGTTTTTTTTTTTTTTTTTTTTTTTTTGGTTTCTGTAATGTAGCAGGCACGAATTTTCTGACATTCAGAGTCTTTACACCTGTTTTTCCTCTCAGGTGTAGGACAGTTTAATTTAAAAAAAAAAACAACTCAATTTAGGGAAATCTCCGTAGCTACCATAAACGAGTACTGAAAAGCTCTACAACAAACTTACTTCATTCAGTCTTTTCAGAGCTTCAGCAAATTAGTGCGGTGTTCTGGGGATGGCTTTAAGGATTTTTTTTAAATTCAAAAAAATCACAAATCTGACCTATCCTTTGCTCCTAAAGCACCTCACACGTATTCACTTAAGGGCACACTTTTTTGCCCCTAGAGTATGAAAGGAGAACACAAGCCGTGAGTAGAAAACAGGGAGATTTCGTTAAGCACTAAAAGACAGGCAACTGTAGGCGTCTAAAAGTTGCTAAACGTTCTGAAGTTGCTAAATTTCCTCGAGCTCTTCCATTCTAACTGCTTCAATTGCGTCAAGAATACTAAAACCCAAATTGAACAAACTTCCCCCCCTCGGGAGAAGGGGAAGCTGAGGACGGTTCTCCCAGAACCTGCGGGTTAACAGGTGGCCGGGCTGGGAGGGACCTTCCGCGCTCCCGCAGCCGCCGCCTCGCCCCGGCGACTCCCAGCCAGCGCGGCTGCCCTGTCCTGGCGTCCTGGCCACCTCCGGCCTCCCCCTCCAGGGCCACCCATCTACCCCGCTCACTCCAGCTCCCACATTCTTGCGGCCGGAGGGGCACCAACCAGCACCTGGTTTCCACTCAGCGCCGCGGGCCTCGGCGCAGGTTGGAAGGCGCTGGGGTAAAGCACGTGCCTCTCCTCGAAGCCTCGTCCCCCAGGCGGGAACTCCCGCCAGGCCTCCGTGTGCCCGGCCACTGGTCCCCGTCTGCCTAGGCACGCAAACGCCGAAGCTTCGAGACGCTACGGAGTGGCCCGGCCACCGGCGCGTCAGGCCCACACGCGCGCTTCCTCGACCCACAGTGTTAAGTTCTGGACGGTCCCAGGACCAGTGGGGCCAAACAACAAATGCGACAAAACCGAGGTCCAGGGGTTTGGGTACCTTGCTCCGGGGACCACACAGTTGTCCGAGGAGGTGCAAAGCCGGGTCTCCTGGTTGCAGTCCACCGAGCCGCCAGGAGTACCGGTGGGCCGCCCTGAGCCCACCTCCGGGACCCACCGGAGGGGGCAGCCTAGCACCTGGGCCTCGAATGGCATTGGCAGCTGCTGTGTGAGCCAGGGCGACCCGTGGTGGGTCAGGCAGGGTCGGCTGAGCAAAACACCAGGGAGGCCCAGGCCTGTGTGGAGAGAGCTAGACGCTTCTTCGCCGGCCGCCCCGCCAGCCTCACCAGCACGTGCTGACCGCGCACCCGAGGGGCCACGGCGCATCACGCAGGCCGGTCTTGGCCGGGCATTTAAGGAGGAGCTCGCGCGGGCGCGGGCGCGGGCGCGGCCCGGCCAGGCCCTGCGCTCTGGGTCTCCCTCAGGGGGCGGCGCCGCGGGGCCAAGCTCTGTGGGGCCGCGGCTGCGCCCTCCAGCGGGCCTTGGCGGAGTCGGGGCTGATGGGTCTGTGGGAGTGGGAATGCACGCGGCGCCCGGGCCGGGCCTACGGAGTCTGGAGGGAGCCCGCGGCGAGAACGCTTTCCTACAGCCGGGGCTTGCGGGCCGGAGCCCTCGCTCCGCACGGGACCTGGGGGAGGGGTCACTCTCCCAACCCGACCTCACGTTGTGTTATCAGGTCTCACACGGAATAAAAAGAATAGGGTGTGTTGGTAACTTTGCAGGAAACTTTTCGTTTTTTCCTTATTTCCTTCCCGCCCGTGGAAAAGTTGAGCAGCTTCTCACACCCAGGAGGTTTCAGGCCAGAGTCTGGAGAGCTTGAAGCTCTGGGTTATGTATGTGTGTGTGCGTGCGTGCGTGCGTGTGTGTGTGCGTGTGTGTGTGTGTGTGTGTGTGTGTGTGTGTGTAGGGGATGTCATCCCACCCTATCTCCACCGCTATCTCCGTCTTCCCTCAGGGAAAGGTGGAACCGTACTTTCCGACCCCCTGCTGTAAGCCAAAGTGATACGCGTCCTTGTCGACTTTCTAGATTTTGTGTTTGCGTTTTAAACTTCACAGTACGAACAAAGATAATTTGGCTAATTTTGGAAAGGGTATGAGGCTTTACAAGGACATCTTAGCACGTGAAAGGAATGACTCGGATCCCCCAGCGTCGTGAAGCCACCCGGGACAGCTCAGCAGAAAGAAAGGTTGTCTGCTGCCAACATGCAGGACTTGGATTTTTTTTTTTTCTTCCTTTTTCTTTTTCTTTTCCTTTTTGGCTCAGCTCTGAGTGCATTACAGAGCTATCCTTTCCCGCCTCCCGGCCCTCTTCCCCTCCCCCCCTTCTTTCTGGTGCAGGCAATTAGGGTGAAGGAATCAGTGCCAGGCTCCTGCTTCTGCCTCTAAAGAGAAAGGAATTGCTTGGGGAATTGAGTCCTGACACCTGTCTCTGCCCCAGACGGTGAGAGGGGACGCGGGGTCAAACCGCCTCCGGGCAGAGGCTGGACCGACCGAGGGGGGAGGATACTCCCTAAAAGAACGTTTCTGGGGACTCCTTTTGCCAAGTCTTCCCGCCCTATCCTCTGGCCTCCAGATTCACACAAATCATTAACACGCGGGTTATTAACACAGGAGTGTCTCTCCTTTTACCGCCGCCCCTCCCCACACCCGGAACGGGTGCTGGAATCAGAAGAGCCACACTGACAAGCCGTTCGTTAACTTGCATTTATTTTCGGGAAATAATGTAGATAAAGGAAGGGGGGGGGCTGCCTTACATTTCAACAAGTAATTTGTGATCTTCACATCGGACAACTTAAATTTACGAATTACTTTCCCACCTACTGGACGAAATGGCCAAAGCCAAAATTGATACACAGGCGCGGGCTCTCCGCAGATTTAGAATGAAGGTGCACTAAGAACTCACTAGACAAAACGGGGGTGTTTAAAAAGAGAGAAGCTGACAGAGGAATGGGAACTGGGGTTGGGGCCTGGGTTTGTTTGTTTTTCCATAACGCTGCATTTTTACTTTTTTTCTTTCCTTTTGTTTTTGGTCTCTAACAGGAACCACGACCCTGTGCTTAGACCTGGTGCAGGACTCAGTCCTACGCCCCAACCCAGCCTCCCCTCCTCCCCCGCAGCCTGACGCGGCTGTTCCCTCCACACTCCCGGACCCTCCGGTCCTCTGCGCCCAGCTTCCTGGAACCAAACGGTTCTCTTGAATAAATACATATAGGAAAGAAGTGTGAGGGCAGGGCAGCTTTGCAACAACTGAAAAATTAAAAGCGCCATCGTTTAAGGAAGAGACGCAGGGGGACAGAGGGATATATTTTTGCTTTTGTTTTATATATATATATATGTGTGCATATATACGTATATATCTTAAAGTTCTATTTCCTGGGCGCTAAAACGAGATATGCTCCATTCAACCAACAGCAACTAAAAAGTGTAAGTGGTCGCTGGAACGGACCCACTATGTACAGCATTCCCACCGAGGCGGACGCTTGAGCCAGTTCTACACAGGGCGGGGCTGAGCGTGAGAAGCTGGGGGGCGCTCCTCCCTCGAGCCCGGCCCCGGCGCATCCCGCTGGGAAGGAGGAAAAGCCGGGAAGCCCTGGCCTGCAGGCGGGAAGCGGGGCCCAGGACAGAGGAAGGGACGGACGGCAGCCCGCGAGGGAGGAACACTTGGTGGTTGGTTGGGCGTAGTGTGGGTGCACTCCAAAGGGCAGACACATGCCAGTTAGTGACTCCAGGGTCCAGAAAGAATAAATAAAAGTGTAGGGCTCAAACAACCAGTCAGAGCGAGGAACTCCGAAGGCTGCAAGTGCATACTAACTGTCCAGAACGACTGGAAAGGGGTGACTTAGAAGTTCGTCGGGGGTTGAGAGGGAGAGCGCACAGCTTTCCCGTGTAGAACTCGTGGGCCAAGCCAAAGCACCAGTCCGCTCATCCAAGGGGTGGGCGGGTTTGCACACCCCCCCAAGCGAGTGGCACAAAGATGAGAGCGGCAGTGCAGGCAACGGGCATCTTTTGGGGGCATGAATATCATGTCTGGAAGCTGAGGCAAAGGCGGGCGGTGCAGCAGCAACAGGACAGGAACCACGGAGAGCGCAGGTAGTTTCATTTCTCTTCCTCTCCCTCTCCTGGGCTCACAATACCTGGAACCGCCAAGAGGCTTGGTCTTTATAGTCCAGACAGTCGGGCGAGTTGAAGTTGAGCTTCCAAGCCGAGGAAGCAGCGGCGGCGCCAGGCTCCTTGTAATCCAAGCAGTCGGCAGAGTTGAAGGCGAGCCCCGAGCCGCCGTAGCCCTGGTGGTGGTGGTGGTGGTGGTGGTGGTGGTGGCCCGAGGACTGGCTCAATGGGTGGTGCGCGTGGGGATGGTGGTGGTGGTGGCCCGCCATGGAGGAGGGTGCCATGGGGCTGAGCTGGTGTGGGTGGTGGTGCGAGTGCATGGGCGCTAGATAGGAGCTGCAGTCCACTCCGCCGAAGTAGGAAGAGGAGGGCGTGGGGTAGCCCTGGCCGTAGCTGCCGCCCTGGCCGTAGGACATGGGGTAAGAGGCTGCGGCCGAGGCCGGGCCTGCGGCTACCGAGCGCTGCATACACGAGGCGTTACTAGGCGCGGCCAGGGGCTCGGGCACCGATACAGACGCAGGGGCTGAGCCGGGGGAGATGGAGGCCGGACTCCAGATGGACGAGGCAGCGGGCGTACTCAACGACGACGGCACCGCCACCGCCGGATTCCCGCCTAGGCCCGCCGCCGCCGCAGCTGCTGGGTTGGCGGAAGCGCTAGAAGCCGAGCTAGAGGACGAGGCGGAGCTGGACACGGCGGGCGGTGTGAACTGGCCGCTGCTTTCCGAACCCGAGCTCTCCCGCACCGGGGACGACTTCTTCTTGGCTGGGCGGCTCTTGGTCCCGCTCCCGCTCTGCTGCTGCTGGCGGCATTTGGCACGACGGTTCTTGAACCAGACCTGAAGTAGGCCGGGTGGGGGAGAGTGTGTCAGTAGGCTGCAGCAGCTTGCTACTCCCCCGCCCCTTGGGCCCACCACCCCGCCTGGGATCTCGCCTCCGCCCCTCCCCATCTCTAGTCCGGCCAGACCCAGCCCCTGCGTTCCCAGCTCCTCCACCCTCCCCCATCCTACTGCTCAGAGACCCTCCTCTGGCCAAATAGGGATGTGCCCATCCCCACCCCTAGAGCAACTCTGCCCTAGGGCGAAACATTTGCTCCTGTCCCGCCGCAAGTTCAGCCATCTCTAAACTGCCGCTGTTGGCTGCTCCCCAAGAGCCCGCGTATGTTTGGAGCTCCTGCCTTCTATGGCAAGAGCTCAGGACACAGCAAAGAGGCACAGGGCAGGCCGCGAAGTACAGGACAGTCACCAAGTTTGAGGTCGGAGCCCGTCGGCCCCTGGAGGCCCGGTGCTGGGCAGGGCGAGAGTTGGGGTGGGAGCAGGAGCAAAGTCGAGCAGCTAAACAGAGGCGGAACTCCGGAGACTAGGGAAGGAAGCCTGGGCAGCGTTTCCTCTAGGCTTCTTGGCTCCGAGTGGGGAACCAAATAGTACAGTCAATCATGAAGTTCTCACTCGTCTTGGAAGGCCCCGGGACTTGGCATTGCATTCCTGGTTCTTTCTCGAGACTCCGGTGAAAGAAGGCAAGATAAAAGGCCCTTGCGGAGAGTTCTAAATTATAATCCAAACACTATTTTCGGGGCTCTTTCATCGCAAAAACAGAAACAGCAAAGCCGATAGCCTGTTTTTGCGTTTAGCATCTTCTCAGGGCAAAGGAAGCGTCTAATCAAACGGACGCTACTCGCCGAGCGCACTCCCAGAGAGAGCACCGGGCTCCGGCCAAGCTCCACTCTTCCATTTCTAGGATCCCCAGGATGCAAGGCAGGGACTGAGGCAGAATTCAGGACCCCGAAGGAAACTCCCAAGTCCTGGGGCGGCCCAAGAAACACAGGCAATGGCTGCACTCTCAGGGCATACTACCTACGGGAGAGCCTCGTCTGTCCTTCCTCAATCCTAAAAAGGACGTTGATACCTAAGGCGCCCGGGGGCCAAGGGCCAAACCAGGGCTCTAAGTTAGTTCCTTCAACTTTGCCCTCTTCTCCAGCCTCTTTCAGGTCCAGGCCCAGAGCTGCTGGGGACTGTCTGGGAGGGTCTGCCCAGTCTGTAGGCCCGCCCCCAAACCAGACCATCCCCTCTACTACCCGCCCCAGCACCCCTACCCTGACCCTGGAGCGTCCGGCGCGCGCACCTGGACCCTGGACTCCGGCAGGTTGATCTTGAGCGCCACCTCCTCGCGCATGAAAATGTCAGGGTAGCGAGTCTTGGCAAAGAGCGCCTCGAGCACGTCCAGCTGCGAGCGCGTGAAGGTGGTGCGCTCCCGCCGCTGCTTCCGCGGGGTGGCTGAGGGGACACGGGGGAGCGCCTCCGGTCAACTGTGACCATGAGGACCCGCGCCAGAGGGCGCGGACAGGCCCCTCGCAGGCCTGAAAAAAGCGGTTGCAAAAGAAAGCCAAGCTCCGAGTAAAAGAAACTCCCCCAGAGGCCGAGCCTGGGAGGCCACAGGTGGTAGAAAGTGCATGTGTGTGACTTCGAGGTAGTATCTTCAAGACTCCAGGGCTGCCCCCTTCCCTGACTCTCGGAAGGAAGTTAAGGAAGGAAGAGAAATTATGCAGTTTCCCTTCTTTCACACTCCCTGGCTGGAGCGTGGAAAGGAGGTGCACAGACACACCACCTGGAAAACACTTTTCTTTCTGAGGGAATAAATGGGAGTGAAAGAAAAAGCGGGAGCTAGAAAAGAAAGCTAGAATTCCGCTCAAGCTATCCACAACAGCACTGCAAAAGTTAGTGCAGACAACCGGTCCTGAGGACAATTTAGGGAGGGAGAATCCCCTTCCTCAGCTCAGCCAATCGCTTGGCATAAGAGAAGCTTGGCTCTTCCTGCCAGGGCATGGTGAGTGTCTACATTCCTCATTCAGTGTTGGAGGGAAAGGAAGAGAGTCACACATGCACACAGCAAAAAAAGCCACCTATGAAAAACGAATCCCTATGCGAGTGGTGGGGTCACAACAGGAGACAGGTGAGGTTGCACGTTGCCCGTTTCCACCACCCTGGCCCACCTCACCATCCCGCCCCATGCCCGGCATTATAAACAGTCAAGGCAACCGGCTGTCCGTGCCTACACAGCCACAAAGTGTGTGCTCAAACCTAAGAGGCTGGGAGTCCCCAAGGGGCTGGTGCTCACCGGGATAGCCCACGGAGGGGTGCAGGAGGTCCATAGCGGGCCCGGCCAGGCCCAGCCCATTCATGCCATATGGTGGTTGTTTGAGGTAAGACATCATGCTAACAGCCGTGTGGAGGCGCCCCGACGGATCCAGGGGGCCTGGCGCAGTGCGGGGCTCCCACCGCTCAGTCCTTCAGGCTCTGTTTTGTATGGGGATTCGGCCTATGGAGACAAGAAACACAAGGAAACAATCATTCGCAGCCAGCTCGGCTTCCTGGTCTTGTCAGAGGCAAGGAGCCTCGGAATGGGGAGGGGACACAGGCTACAGACTGCACAGGGCGGCCAACTCGGCTCTACAAGGCCTTAGTCCAAAGACCAAGACTTCTTTGAAAAGCAAACTTTTCTGTATCTTCATCGCTTGTGTTCAGGGTTAGAATGGGCCAAATACGCTCGTAGGGTGTTGCTAGGAGTGAGGAGAGGTTAAAAGCAGAGCCACGTTGGGGAAAGTCAGAGCCTGAACCGCGGACTGTGCAAGGTCCCAAATCTAAGCAAATTCTAGTCGGGAGAGGGCCGGCCCCATATGCACCAGAAAATCTTCACTGGGCGCCCCGCGCGGCAGGCCACCCAGAGATGAGAGGTTGTTTCGTTTTGTTTGAAATCTTTTTGAAAGCGAAAAGGAAAGGTAGACATTACCTCTCAGGGAGGCAAGGCCCACTTAGGAGAGTACGTTCCTCCAAAGGTCTCAGAGGCGAAGTGCCGATCCCAGGGCCCTCAGCCACCCCTCCAGTTGGCCTCTCTGTGCTCAGCCGCTGAAAGACTGCTCACCCGAAATCCCTTTATACCCCAACAGCAGTTACGGGCCCGGGAGCCCCAGAGGCGGCCTGAAGACGCAGAAGGGGCCACTGTAGCCATGCGGCCCTAAGACACGGCCCTAGGTTAGAGGTGCCCCGCCAGGGCCGCAGGCCTGTCTTCACCAACTGAAGCCGGTTCTTCTTTCTGCGGGTCCTGGTGGCGGACAATAGGGTCCAGGAGAGGGCTGAGAGGTGGCCCGACCAGTTCCCCAAGGGCTCTCGCGATCTGGGAGGCGTGAGGGCAGCAGGTCCCGTGCGCTCCCTGCCTTCCATACCAGCTGAACTCCCGGCTCCAGCATCCTATCGGGACTGGAAAACTAGGCCTCGGCGGCGTCGCTTGCGCTTCCCCGGACGGGAAAGTCAGCCTGGCTTCCCCAGGTGCTCCGAACCTGAGGCACTACTCTCAGGAGTAAGGAAGTGGTGCTGGGGGAATGGATTGGAGTCTCAGAAGACCTGCTGCTTCATCCCGCTTCGCGGGAACTCAGCGCAGGCCTGGGACCCGGGCTTAGGGAGTTCAGGGAGAGAAGTTAGAGCTAAAGAAGCCTCCCGCTCCTATTCTTCGAGACCCATGGCCTGGACAGGGGAACCCAATTTGCAGGGAAGGGGACGAAAGGGAAACAGCCGAGGTGATTCTGCTAGGCTGCAGCGTGAGTTTTAAAGACTTTCTCCAAACTTAGCACTTCAGCTTGGTTACTTCGGAGGAGGCGGGGGCGCAGGGCCGCAGCGGAGCCCTGGGGTCCGCCGCGCGCCGGGAGGGGAGCCTGGCCGCTCCCCAGCCCCGCCCACCTGCCGGGACCCGGGAAGCTGGGACTAGTCTGATGAGCGAGAGGCGAGAGCACTCCGCGCGTTACCAAAGCCCCAGCAGCCCCACGGCTTTCTCCTTACCTGCCCTCAGCTGCCGGGGCTGCTCACCATCTACCTCGCACCCTCACCGACCCGCCGGCAGCCAACCTGCAAAACAGAGCGGCACAGGAATTACCCGCCGGGCTGGCGGTTCTCTAGGACCCCCGGATTTCTTTCTTTTCCCAACTTCCCTCCTCCTTTCTTTTTTCTTTCCACTGGCTTTGTGCGTGTCCCTCCAGGTTTCACTTTATTGCACAGACACTTTGTTTGCGAAGCCCTACACGCTCCCGAGACACTACCTCGCCCGGGACCGCGCCGAGGGGCCTCAGGGGAAAAGGTAGGAGTAAGAGGGGCAGAGTTGGGGGACGGCTCGCGGTTGCCGCTGCACTCTCGGTACAACGTGGAGGCGGTGGGGGCTGGGGAAGTCCTGCAGAGGCACTTTGCAAACTAAATAAATCAAGCGATTTACCTTGTCGGAGTGGCTTGTCTTGCTCGGTTGTTTAGGTGATTGGAAATGTAGCCTGATGAAGATTGATCACCTTTCTACTGCCCTCCCCGGGTATGTGAACGCGAGGTGAGTGCGTAACGGGGATAGGCTGCCAATCCCCGGCCCCGCGCGGGCTGAGTGACAGGGAGCGGGGCAATGGCAGCCCGAGCCCGGGGTTACCTCCGCGCGCCCCCGCCCTCCCCCGCCCCCTGCACCCCGCCCGCGCAGCCCGCCAGACCGCCCCGCCCCGCCCGGGTCGCGCGCTAACTCCAGGGCTTGGCAGGCAAACGCGGCACAGACCTAGGCGATGCAGGCTTGTACTGCGCCCGAGCCCTGGCCGCGGAGGGGGACGCCGGTCCCTAGGCCGCCTTGGGGCCCCCGCCCTTCTCTCGCCCTCTCAGCGCCCTGGAGGGAGTGGCAGAGACGAGGCGAGGTGGAGAACCGGTTCCCTCGCGTCCCCGCGCGCCACCGGCTAGGCAGCCGGGTTGTGGGCGCGAGGACTTCGGCGCCGCGGGCTGGAGGAGAGCGGGCCCTCAGCCCCTCTCTCGGCGCCGCGGTCCCCAGCGTCTTCCACCGTGCCGCCACCTGCAGACGGATGCCGCGGGCGGCTCGTGCCGGCACAGGCTATTCTGCCGAGCGCGGGCGCAGCTCCGGGTGCGCAGATCCCGCCTCAGCGCCTCAGTGCTCCCGCGCTCGGGAACAGCACCCGCAGGAGCGGCCCGCCACTTACCTGCTCTTCGGCGTCTCCAGGAGTTCCCAACCCCCACGAAGGGTGTTTGCAAATCTTAAACTTTTCTTCTGCAACGTCGGAGCTCAGCCTCTTTCCCCTTGCACAAACTCTACTTCTGAATCGAAAGATTTTGATAGGAAACTTTATCTTTCATACTCTGCCTCTGTCTCCTTCCAGTTCTCCCGCCAGGGCCAGTCAGGTGTAAGATGGGGCCACAGACCCCCGCCTTCAGTTTTTCTCTTTCATGCCCAGAAGGAGCCTCCCTGAAGCGGTTTCCCCGTGTAGATCGTACTGGCGAAGCCCATTTCCTAGCCGAACAAACTTCTCAAACACATCTACCTTAGTGGACTTGGCAAAAGAAAAAAAAACAACAACACAAAAAAACAAAACCCAAAACAAAAAACGTCTTTTCGGCCCAATCCTAAGCAAGGTAATTCTTTTAAATGGCACCTCCTCCTTAATATTAGGCACGACTTCCCTGCCTTTCGAGGAATTCCTACCCCATTTTCTTAATCCCTGCTCCCCCCCACCCCTACGGGAGGAATAAAAAGTTTGAACTGGAGTAGGTGTGAGGTGAGGGCGAGTCAAGCAGTCGCCGGGTGCATCGTGGTGGGGAGCGCAGGCGCTGCCTGGGCTGCGGGGTCGGGAACCCAGAACGGACCCGGCGCTGGGCGAGGGGAGAAGGAAGGGGGAGCCCGCTGAGTGAAAAGGGGCCGCGGCCGCCGCTCATCAAAGTGCTTCTCCCTCCCCCAAGCGACACTTTCCTTTGGAGTCCGAATAAAATACGGTAACAGAATATGATGGAGGGCGCACTGTTTCCTTAACTGCTTCTCAAAGGACCCGGGAGATCTTCTTAGGATCTTTAATAAGGCTTTGGTCGGTTCTTTTGTTGATCTCTCAAAATCAACTCCTTCTAATTGAAGTTGGAGCTGAAAGCGAGCTAATGTTCAAAGAAAGTGGCCGCCAGACCAACGAAATTACATTTTTTTTTTTTTGTACGATGAGGGAACATCTAATCAAAGGGGCAAAGGAGGAGGGGTGGGAGTGGGAAGTGTGAAGGAGAAAAGGAGGTTTTACAAGATCCTTCTCTGGTTCACAAAAGTCAGCGACACGGGCGCTTCTCTCCAGAACAAAGACACCGCGGCCCATTCATAAAAGGGAGAGAAAGACACACATAGAAAACAATAAAAGAAACTAAAGAAAAGGGAAAAAACATGAGAAAGAAAAGCTTAACAAGGAAAAGAAACTGCGCAGAGCGCAGCGCTGACCCGGGCGGGGACACACCTTAGGCTCGCGCAGGCCCCGGCGGGGTGTATAGCCGGCGAGGCCCGCGGCTCGGAACCTCCCCCATCCCCCAACCCCCAGGATGGTGCAGAGGTTTAAAGAAAGAAACGAAATATACCCCCTCCTTCAGTTCTGGGAAAAGGCGCGGGCTGGAGCGCACAAATTTGGGGGGGAAGCGAATGCGGGCGTCCTGGGGTGCGCCTAGGCGGGCGTCTGCGTCCCCAGACCAGCGCCACCCCAGCCCGGGCCTGCACGCTGCGCGCCTGGTTAGCTCCCCAAGGCTGAGGTGCGTGCCCCGTCCCGGGCCCGCTACGTCCCGCGCTCCCGCGTCCTCGGGCCCCGTTTCGCCGGCAGCTGCAGCGCCCAACCGAGCTCCGACGCGGAGAGGTGGAGCGGCTGTGCGCGCTGGAATGTGCTCAGGCGGTCCCCAGGGCCCGCCACGCTGGAGCCCGGCGCGCTCGGGTCCATATGCTGCCACGGTCTCGGGGAAGTTGGGAGGTATCAAGTAGCACGATTCCCGCCCCCCCACCCCCGCCCCTAATGAGAGTATTTATCTAATCCCACATTGCCGGCGAGTTTTCTTAATGCTCAACCCATAAAATCCTGGGATTAAGAGAAGAAAAAGAAAGGGGCGAGGGAGGAGAGGAGAGGAGAGAGGAGATGAAAGTTTCTTGTTCGCTGTGTAGAGGGCTGTGGCTGCCGTCGCTAGGCCAATGTCCAGGTGGGAGATGCTGGGCCAGAAGCCGAGGCCCTTTCGGCAACAGCCGCAACGCGGGGAGGGGAAGAGGGGGTGTCGTAGGGGGAGGGCAAGTCGACCCAGCCCGGGCCGCCCGGCCCGGAGGAGGCGTGAGAGCTGGGCCCCGGAACCCGGATCCAGCATCCAGGTGACCTCGAGGCCGGGCCAGACTCTGGAGGACACTTGG